CCGACGACGAGATACCCTTCCTGCACCACCGCACCGCAGCGCAGCCGCCGCCATTAGACCAGAGAGGAGAAACCACTAGAGCCAAACAATTACACGCCGGAGAAGAGGTAGAGAGGGGGATTACCCGCGGCTGTGCATGCGCCCCATGGCGGCGTCGAGGGGTTTAGCTCCGGCGACGGCGGGCGGCGGCGGCGGCGCGCGAGGGCGAGAGGGGCGCGAGCGGCGGTAGGATGGAGAGGTGCGGGCTAGGGTTTTGGGGTGCTACTTATAGTGCGCTGGCGGCGCTGGGGATGGGATGCTAGGGCTGCGCCATTATGGGCCGGGCCATCGCGCGTTAAGGCCCATTGCGTGAGATGTTTCAGCCCAGTAAGCGCCTAATCTTGGAGGCTCCTTTTTATTATTTTGGAAATGGAGTATCTATAAAAAAAACCGTCGAAGTATAATTACATTGTAACGGCGTAGAGGCGGACGCGGTCGAGGAGAGGCGGGAGGTGGAGGAGCACAAGCCCCAGAGGTCCGTCGGGAGATCTTGCCATTACGGTGATGGCTGCTGCGCCGCTGCCATCCTCCTCCTCTTCCTCCTCCTCGTCGGCAGTGGTGGCGTGGAGCGCGAACAGGAGGCAGCCGCAGACGGGGCCGGCGGCAGCCAGGGCAGCGGGTGGAGCCCAAGCAAGAGGTGGCCATGCGTGAGGCGGCAAAGGCGCTCCGTATCAGGGGCGATTTTGCCATTTCAAAAAATTTATCACCTATTTTGACTTGGAAATTATAAAATATTGTCTCCGATGTCGTATAGCCAATTCTATATGAATGCAGATAATGCTAGAAAGTCTTATAATATGAAACGGAGGGAGTAGAAGGTATCATAAACCCCATGGATCAGGAACATGATTGAACTCACATCAATTAAGTCAAATAAGTCTTAAACGAAGGCTACCATGATGGTTCATGAGCCTTAGAGATCTTGGCAGAGATGCAAATGCTTAGGGGGAGATATTAAGCATATAGTAGAGTTTCCACGTAAACGAAAAGCTGAATACAAGAGGATTGGGAAAGTTGTAAATTGATTGTGGAGTTTCAAGTAAATGGAAAACATCCAGGTATTACTGTACGAACAATTAGCATTATGCATGAGAAAAAGGAGTATCTAAACTCTGAACAAGAACTGCAGCGTGGGACTTTTTTTTTTTACTAAAAAAGCACATTATCAACAGATTAGCACAATTAATTGGTGAAATCAATTTAGTGGAAGAATAAAAGTACCCAATGTAACTAAACAACCATCAGTGTTGCATGGAAGTGGAATTATGGGAATACTTCCCATTTCACTATATTATAGCTCTGTGAGTGAAATGGGGGGCAAATCAATGACCATTCAAAAAGCAATTTCTGTTTAATTGATATAGTTCTACTGGATTACTCACTGTTAAAGCTGGACCAACATATTCAAGAAATATGTTTCATGACAGGAGAAATGCTCCAACGAAATTAAGCCATGTTTCTTGTATCACACGCAAATCGAGCTAGGCTGATGTAATTCCTTTTTTTTTTGCATATATTACCGTGCAATTCTTTTTACATTGTGCCAAGGCACCATAGTTAAAACTTCAGAGCAAAGAATGAATAAACGCTGTGCTGTGCAGCGTGCACGACGGCAGCAGCAGAATGTGATTCCAGAATCAACGAAAAAGATAGCCAGTGCCGAAGCTCATGCATCTAGCTGCCAAACAAATCTGCTGACTTAGAAAACATCAGACAGGGCAACAAGCAGCTCACCTACAGCTTGATCCTTGAATGTAAGACAGTTGCTAGGAGCCAATGCTTGATTTGATCTACTTCATATAGATGTTAATGAATCTAGACATATATGAATATCTAGTATTATCCACATTTATATAGATGTTAATGAATCTAGACACATATGAATATCTAGATTCATTAACATCTTTATAAATGTGGACAATGCTAGAAAATCTTACATCGTAAAACGGAGTGGGTGGTAGATATCCAATGCATGGGCTTGCACATTTATGAGACAGATGAATCGGAGCGTGCATCTTATTAGTATGGAGCATGAATAGTGCATTTTGCTTTTTCATTCAGCTTTGTTAGGCACAAGGGAACCTACTGTTCATTAGTTATTTTCTCTCACCAGCACATGTCAGCAGAACTTATCTAAAAGTTAAAAGAGCTTGTATTTCCTATATCCAACTAAATCCGCATTTATGATCTCTTTAAATCTGCTCTTTTAGCTGCCAAAAGGATAGTAGCAATTTTCCATGTCTAAACTAATAATGTGTTGTGCTGGGCCAAGGAACCCACCAATATCTCAGTTTGCTAGAAGGTATAAAAAACCCCATGGATCAGGAACAGGATTTAACCTATATGAACAAAGTCAAAGGTCTTAAACAAAGGTTACAAAGATGGTTCATAAGCCTTAGAGATCTTGATAGGGATTAAATTTTTTTTTTGGGGGGGGGGATATTAAGCATATCTGATTGGGAAAGATGTAAATTATTTGTGAAGTTTTTTCACGTAAATGGAAAACCCCCAGTTATTACTGTAGTAGCAATCTAGCATCATGCTTGAACAAAAGGAGAACTGTAGCATGGGACTAAATAAATTATTACTAAAAAAGCACATTATCAACAGACTAGTGGAAGAATAAAAGAACGCAACGTAACTAAAACAATAACCGGTATTGCAGGGAAGTAGAACCATGGGAATATTTCCCATTCCACTACACTAGCTCTGTGAGTGAAATGGGAACAAACCAATGACCACTTAAAAATCACTTTCTGTTTAATTGATAAAGTTCACTGATTACTCACTGTTAAAGCCAGACCAACATATTCATCATAAATATGTCTCATGAAAGAATAAATGTTCCAACGAAATTAAACCATGTTTCTTGTATCACAAGCAAATCGAGCTAGGCTAATGTAATTCCTTTTTTTTTGTGTGTGTATATTACTAATTAATTGATTATATTAACTTGCAGCTTGAAACATGGCCAAATTTGAAGCACAACATTACCATTGTGGGCGACAATACATTAATTGAAGGCCCCCTTGTCAATGATCCCATAGTATTAATCAGCGAGCTGAAATATGAACAGAAAATGCCAATACTAAAATCAGGTAATGAGATAGGTCCTACTGCTCCGTGGAAATTTAAGTTTTCAGGAACGATAGGATGTAAACAATTACGACGATCATAGTAACATCAAAATGCCACAAATCACGCCATTTGTTTTGTGATAATAAGGAAACAAGCATGGCCATACACCAGATTCACATATTTTGGATGATTGATAGATCCACAATTTACATTGCAGAGAGCGAAACAAAGCATCATTAATCATATCCATCCATCAATCGATTAATCATACCACTATACAGACCCTAGATTATCCAAATCACACCGAAAAGAAAGCACAAAACAAAGTAGGAGGGAGCAAGCAAAGCGTAAATGAAAATAAAGAGAGATCACATGATAGGTAAGGAAACAACAGACCAGAGAGTTATTGTGTGTCAAAACTGTGGATCCTGAGAAGAGGAGGGGGAGTAGAAAAACAGAAACTATGAACATGAACAGTGCATTTTTCTTTTCATTCAGTTCTATTTTGCACAAGGGAACCTACTGTTCATTACTTCTTTTCTCTCACCGGCACATGTAAACAAAACTTGTCTAAAAGTTAAAAGAGCTTGTATATCCTATATCCAACTAAGTCTACATCTATGATCTCTTTACATCCTGAACTCCACAGGCTATTTTAGCTGTCAAGGGGAGAGTAACAATTGTCCATGACTAAACTTAATGTATTTTGTTGGGCCAATGAATCCACCAATATCTCAGTTTTCTAGATGGTTATGAATCCACCAGTATCTCAGTTTTCTAGAAGGTATCGCAAACCACATGGATAAGCAACAGATCGAGTTAATATCAATTACAAAGAAGGTCTTAAACGAAGGTTACCAAGGTGGTTTACGAGTTGTAGAGATTTTGACAGGGATGCAAATGCTTGGAGGGAAGATATTAAGGACATAGCAGAGTTCCCGTGATTGAAAAGCCAGATAAGAGAGGAATGAGGAAAGATGTAAATTAATTGTGGAGTTTCAAGTGAAATGGAAAACTTACAGGTATTACTGTATTAGCAATCTAGCATCATGCTTGTAAAAAGAAGTATCTAAACTCTAAACAAGAATGGCAGCATGGGACTAATATGATTTTACAATTTTACTAGACAGGCTCATTATCAGAAGACTAACACCATTGATTGGTGAAATCGGTTTAGTGGAAGAATAAACGAACCCAATGAAGCTAAAACAACCATCGGTCTTGCAGGGAGGTAGAACTATGGGAATATTTCCAATATCACTAGATTATAGCTTTGTGTATCAGAAAAGGACAATCTAAACAAGAACAGTGAAATAGGAGCAAATCAATGACCACTCATGGAGTACTTTATGTTTAATCGATAGAGTTCTACTGGATTACTCACTGTTAAAGCTGAAATATATTTCTTGAAAGAAATGCTCCAACAAAACTAAACCATGTTTCCTGCATCACAAGCAAATCGAGCGGTAATGTAATTGCTTCTTCTGCATATATTATTACATAATTGATTATACTAACTGGTAGCTTAAAACATGGCTAAATTTGAAATGCAACATTACCGTTGCGGGCGACAGTACATTAAATGATCCATAGTATTAACCAACAAGTTGAAATACAAATGGAAACAAAAAAACTGCCAATGTACTCCCTCCGTTTCACAAAGTAAGTCATTCTAGCATTTCCCACATTCATATTGATGTTAATAAAAGATTCATTACCATCAATATGAATGTGGGAAATGCTAGAATGACTTACATTGTGAAACGGAGGAAGTAATAACTAAAATCCGGCAATGAGATAGGTCCTACAGCTCCCTGGAAATTGAAGTTTTCAGGAATGTGGTAGGATGTAGTAAACAATTGCAGTGATAATAGTAACATCAATAAGCCACAAATCACGTCATTTCTTTTCCGATAATAAGCCAGATCCACATATTTTGAATGATAGATAGATCCACAATTTACATTGCAGTATTGAACAGAGCGAAACGCAAAGCATCATTAATCAGATCCATCCATCAATCGATTAATCACACCATTATCCAAACCCTAGGTTGTCCAAATCACACCGGAATGAAAACACAAAATAGAGAGCAAGCAAAGCACAAATCAGGAGAGATCACATGATAGGTAAGGAAACGACAAGCAAGAGAGAGTTATTATGTGTCAAACTGTGGATCCTGAGAGGGGGAGAGAGAGGGAGAGAGGGGAGAAAACCAGAAATGACAAATTATTTGGCGACGATGCGGCGGATGAAGTCGTCGTAGCGGATGGTGCCGTCGGGGGCGACGTCGACCTCGCGGATCCACTCGTCGAACTCGTGGGGCTCGAGCTTCTCGCCGATGGAGGTGAGGACGTGGCGGAGATCGGCGACGGAGACGGTGCCGGAGGCGTCCTTGTCGAGGACGCGGAAGGCGTCGCGGAGCGGGCGGTCGAAGGGCTCGGGGCGGAGGTGGGCGCGCATGAGGTCGAGGAAGCGCGGGAAGTCGAAGGGCGCGGTGAGCTTCTCCTGCGCGGCGATGTCGCGGAGCTGCGCCTGGGTGGGGTTCCCGCCGAGGGAGCGCATCAGGACGCCGAGCTCCGACGGCGCGATCCGGCCGTCGCCGTCGGTGTCGAAGAGGGAGAACGCCTCCCGCATCGACGCCACCTGCTCCTCGCTCAGCTCCTTCCCCCCCATGATCCGATCCGATCCGATTCGGTGGGGATCTCGCCGCCGGAGATGGAGATGGAGATGGAGATGGAGGTGAGGAGATCTCGCGGTGGCTGCGTGCGCTTCTCCTCCTCAGCTGCGCGTCTGCCTCTTTGCGCGTTGCGCTTGCTGTGGTGGGGAACAAAGTGGGGGATCGGTCTCGCGAGGGCGAGGAGGAACGTGGGGTTGGTGATGCGGCCGCTGGTGGGCCGTCAATCTCACATCCGGCCTAGCATGCCGTCATCTCGATGGGCTTCCTCCATTCAGGCCCATCAACGTGTTTAGGCTGGAAATTTACAGGCCCATCAAGTAAAGGCGGGACAGTTTTCAGTTGGGAATAAGTTCACTTTAGCTCCCTCCAGTAAAGGTTGGATATGATCGGAATGGTTCACTTTGACTCTCTTAAAAGTTAACTGAATCTAATCCGTAACCCTGAACCGCAAAACCAGATATCTTGACCCCGTAAACTATTAAAACCAGTACAATATGACTCCCTCGGCGGTTTTGCAGAGCGGTTTCGCTGACATGGCACTTTACGTGGTGGTGTTGACCTAGTCTTTGTCACACGTGGCGTTTTGACGTGGCGCTTATGTGGCAGTAGAATTAAAAATTATATATGGGACACATTTGTCATTCAAAAACAAATCGTGGGGCCCACCTATTCTCTCATCCCCTTCTTCCTCCTCTCTCTCTCTTTCTTTCTCTTTCTCTCCTCTTTGCCTTTTCTGCAGGGTAGGTGAGACCCGAAGCGGTGGCGGGCAGGAGGGTGGGTGCTGGAGCGGCCTCCATCGCTGCCTCCTCCCAAACCCTCCCTTCCCCCATAGCCGAAGACGCCATGGCAGGCGCCATGGCCGCGGCCTCTCTCTCCGACGAGCTAGAGCCCGCAACCGCCCGAACCCGCATCCGATCCATCCCTTCCCTCCCCCATGGCCGAAGATGCCACGGTGGCCGCTATGGGCACGACCTCCCTCTCCGACGTCCTGAAGTCCGCCACCACCCGCACCTGCATCTGGCGAGCACGTCGTCATGGGCTGGTGGGTCAAGACTGGGCGAGAGCAGGAGAAGGGCTCTTTCGCCTTCCTCGAGCTCAACGACGGCTCCTGCGTCTCCAACCTGCAGGTCCTCGGCGACGCCGCTGTCCATCCGCTTAGGTCACTTCGAGCTCCTCCGCCAATCCTCCAGCCTAATCTCCAGTAGCGGCGACACGCCGTTCCCCATTCCCCTAGCCCCCTCTCTAGCGCCGGCAACACGCCAATTCACCATCACCGTCTCCAGCGCCGGCGGCACGCCATTCCCTTAAGAAACACAAAACCACCACCAGGAAGAAAATAACCTTTTTACAATCAACCCTTGTCTCCTCTCCGGCGACAAAGAAGGGGCCATTTGCCAGCGTCGTCGGCATAGCCGAGGACGGAGTAGGGACCTCCCTCGAGCCCCTCCGCCGAGCGGCGCCCTTGCTGCTGCCCGTTTGCCGCCAAGTGGTGCCCTGCTGCCGCCCGCCGCTGACCTCTCGTCCACTTCCTACAGCAGCGCTGCCTGCCGTCATCGCCTAGCTACATAAGAGAGAATATCGAGAGAAGGAAGGTGAGGGAGGAGAGGATGACAAGTGGGCCCCACGTATATACTTTTTAATTCTAATGCCACATAAGCGCTACGTCAACGCCACGTGCGACAAAGATCAAGTCAACACCGCCACGTAGGTGCCACGTCAGCGAAACCGTCCTCCAAAACTGCCGAGGGAGTTAAATTGCACCGGTTTAACAATTTAGGGGTCAAGATATCTGGTTTTACGATCGAGGGTCACGGATTAGATTCGGGTCACTTTCAGGGAGCAAAAGTAGACTTATTCTGACATGATTAGTATCTTTCAACTGAAAAACCGCTGAGGGAGTCGTTTCATACATTTTTAATATAGTTGAAAGATATGTTATATCCGGTTATACGGTTGAGGGATATAAATCATGTTGGAACAATGGTGGAACCAAATCCAACAACATATTTGAGGGAGTCTAATTGGATTAGTTTCTTTTCAGTTGTACACTTGTACTGCATCAGCAATTCTGCATATGCAGGTCAGGAGGCGTACGTGCACTCTGTATATCCTCCATGGGCCAAAGCAATTCGACCTGCAAGGCTTGCAAAAGTGCAAAACCAGATGAGAGTAATCTGTAATCACCTTCGTTTTCGTGTGACTGACATATGGAAGCTTTTCCCTTTTTACTTTAACCTTTTGGATCTGCACAGTCACAGAGCAGCATGGGGCCCATTGATCAGTAAATTAATGGCGTTTTTTGACTCACCGTCGCGTTTGAAGACATGGCATACAACATGATGCATTTAGTTACAGGAATAATGAGTGTTACTGCTGCTCCAGTACGAGTTACTACTGTGCCGTGTTGTGTGAACGACGACCTGACGAATTCGTTGTTTCCTTTGTCCGTTGCTCATACCAGTTTGCATGATCCACCAACCAGGACAGTGTTGGATCAATGGAAGACAGAAAATTTCAGCTCCGACAGTGTTCTCTTCCTCCACTGCTTCCCTGTAGTGCCGAACTTACTTCAGACATGTCTGGAACAAGCTATACGCAAAGACAAGAGGGGGCTTGTTTTTTCTCAAAATTTAGCAACACCAGAATTTAGATAGGTTGACAGCTATTGCCAAGTTTTGGTAGAATAAACCAATGCAATGTTACCAAAAATTCTCAGGCATTACCAACGTCTGATAATAAACTAAATGAATTCACTTATTTGTTAGTTTTACTCAACAATGGTACTTTCTCTTTTTCACGTCATAGCATATTTTGGGTTTTAAATAGATTCATGTATGGATTTATGTGCAAGTGCTTTATATATGTGCGATAATTCATATGAATACTAGTGAATCTAAGGAATAGAGGGGCTAAAATTCATATGTAACAGAGGAAGTATGGTTTAAAATGATACCACATTAAATGAATTGTTCCTTCCAAATTATCGAGCACCAACTTTTAGGGCTGGTTTGATTTGAGGCCTAAATTAGGCTTACTAATATTTGGCAATTTCAATAGTGTTTGATGTCTATTTAGTTTGAAGTCAAATTTTGGCATGCCTAAGAAAATAGGCCATTTCAATAGTGAACTTAGGCTATTTTGGCTTCAATCCAAATACAATTTTGCCTTACTAAAATTAGTCATGCCAAAACTTACCAAAATTTGGCACTAACAAAATTTAATAAGATTTATTTAGGCCATCAACCAAATCAACCCTTAGTTCAGTTCAAACTCTGCCTCTCCATGGGCTCCAAATTCAAAGCTAGCTGAAGGGAAGGGATTCGATCTCCAACCCACTGGGCCGCTTATCTTAATTCCCGGGGGCCCAGCAGCAGGCCCGCGCCACGTGGAGTGGTGGCGGGGCACGAGGCGTTGCAGCTCCCATCTCGCCGCGTGCGCGCCAACCACGCGCTCTCGGCTCGATGCCCCGCCTCTCCCACGAAAAATATTAAATACAATAATTTTGGACGCTCCCCGATTCAAAATTTGAATTCTCTGCTACAGTTTCTCCTCGATCTGAAACAAATCCGACCGACCTAAACCAACCAACCCCATCGACTGGACGTGAATGCAGATCGCATTTTCATTTGGATTTTGGATCGATCATCGCCAGCCAGAATGTTTTTTGCTCAATTTGCGTTTAGATAATTAGCCCGTACGGCCCTTGGCCACCTCCTCCAATCATGCATGTGCCGATTGGATTTTTGAACAATTTGTACTAATTTGATTTCACTCTAAACAGTCGAGCTTAAACTACTGGAGCAGTTAGTTACTGCCATCATTCTGATTTCTCAACACACGTACGTACACGTACACTGACTGCAGTATGTAGAAGCTGGTCAATGCAGACACTGGATCAAAATTATTCTCACTTTTTCAAAACCGTATACTTGACGAGGATACAGTATCTGATCCGTATTTTTATACTCTAAACTTTTATCAAACTCAAACGTACAATACATCTCAGACAAGATAGACATGCACAGGTTCATGTACTGTACATACATGCAACAATCCCAATAAAACCCCTCCTTTTTTTCACCTTTTACCATCCATCCAATATTTCCATTTTTCCTCTTTTTACCAGTTACCACGATCACTTTTTTTTTTACCGTAAACCCCCTATAAACCTCCGAATTCTCACTCCTCCGCTCTCCACACGCCTCCAGCCTCCGAGCTTGTCGCTTCCACCTCCCATGGCGTCCACCACCACCAAGAACGCCCTGCTCCTCCTCCTCCTCCTCCTCCTCCTCTTTCCTCTCCTCCACTCCTCCCTCGCGGACGTCGCCGCCGCCGCGCCGTCCTCCGCGTCGGCGGCGGAGGTGGACGCGCTGATGGAGCTGAAGGCGGCGCTGGACCCGTCGGGCCGCCTGCTGCCGTCGTGGGCGCGCGGCGGCGACCCGTGCGGCCGCGGCGACTACTTCGAGGGCGTCTCCTGCGACGCGCGCGGCAGGGTGGCGGCGGTGTCGCTGCAGGGGAAGGGACTCGCCGGCGCCATCTCGCCGGCGGTGGCCATGCTGCCGGGGCTCACCGGGCTGTACCTGCACTACAACGAGCTCGCCGGGGCCATCCCTCGCCAGCTCGGCGACCTCCCCATGCTCGCCGAGCTCTACCTCGGCGTCAACAACCTCTCCGGCACCATTCCCGTCGAGCTCGGCCGCCTCCCTGCTCTCCAAGGTGACTCACTGACTGATCAGTTATTGGATTGCATTCCAGCTGCGATTTGGGCAGAAATTAGTACTACTGGTAGTTTTTATTTTGTTGTTTCTTCTCTGCAGGATTAGTTCGAGTTCTCTAGTGTTTGTAGTTTGGGAATTTTGAAAATGTTTAGAGTTTAATGATTTGTGTATATGCAACTCTGTTCCTGAATTTGATGGAATTTGGAGTACATTGCGTTGTTTGTGCTCTGCATAATTAGTTCTAGTTATTTGGTGTTTCATTAAATTTAACATTAAATATATTTTTATAATATGTATCTTTTGTGTTGAAAATACTACCATGTTTATGTTTTTCTGTAAATGTGGTTAAACTATAATAAGAAATTTAACTAGGAACAAAATTCAAAGCGATTTATAATATGAAACGGTGTGAATAGTTTGTAAAAAATCTGAAACTGCTAGGAGTTTAATGTATTGTGTACAGTATATGCAATTCTGTTCCTGAATTTGATGGAATTTTTCGTACATTTTGGTACCTACTAGTAGTAGATAGTACTACTAGTGCACTACGCAAAATTTAGGGGGTGTTTGGGCCCCTCTCTCATAAGTTACTTATGTTTTTATGTTTTTAAGTGAGGGGCTAAAGTCCCAAACATCCTTAGACTTGACAAGTTTCTGTTCTTTGTTTGGCTCGGAGCTTTGAGTTGACATAGATAAAACATACTACTATTATCGGGGTACATTATTGTGTTCCCCAAATGCTAGTACCAAATCATATGCTCTTCTTTTGTCTGAGTGCCGATGATTACCTTCCCCGCTGCCCATACAATCATAACTACTCCATCCAAAAAAAAAGAATCCAGAGGCTTGTTCACTTTGCTATCATTTTTAACCTTATCAAGTTTTGATTTTGGTAAGATTGCCAAAATATCTTACCAAAATTTTAGCAAGGTTGTTAAATTTTGGCAAGATTTCATATGTACTTACTAAAATTTGCCAACAAATTAAATGTAACCACTTTTTTAGTAACTTTGCTAAAAAAGGTAAGGTTGAAAATGGTATTAAAGTGAACAAGCCCTAGGACTGGAGGTGACATATTCTTGTACGATGAATCTGGACAGATGTATGTCTAAATTCGTTGTATTAGAATATATCACATTCAGTATTAGGTTGGTTTTTTATAGGACGAATGGAGTACAACCCAAGACATGTGAAATGACAAAAAGTTTGAGCTTTGCTCAGTACAAATTGGCGTATTTGCATTCCTTCGTAGTACGGCTACTTGATGTGTGTATCACGAAATCCGATCTTTATTCTCTGCCTTTTGGCAGTTTTCATCTTCCGTTTCACTCTCTACACTGACACAAAAACAAGTCCAGATTCTGCTCAAGAAATTTTATCAGTGTTCTGAACTTTGAACTGTTGCAACAGCTATCCACCTGCTCCAGTGCTCATGATGCCAGTACTACTACTCTGTCTGTTCAATTAATCCAGGATTAATTAGCCTGCTAATAGCTTGATTGCCAATCAGAGATACTAGTATGACACATTTGGCACATGACACACCTACCAAGAGTTAATTATCATCATTAACTGTTCGGCAAATGACTGAAGAGTTTTTGTGTTTCACTGTGCAGTACTGCAGCTCGGGTACAACCAGCTCTCAGGGAGCATCCCTACTCAGCTGGGCCAGCTCAAGAAGCTCACTGTGCTTGCCCTCCAGTCCAACCAGCTCACCGGCGCGATCCCGGCATCTCTCGGGGACTTGCCGGAGCTCGCACGGCTGGATTTGAGCTCAAATCGCCTCTTCGGATCGATCCCTTCCAAGCTCGCCGCAATCCCCAAGCTTGCCACATTGGACCTCAGGAATAACACCCTTTCAGGAAGTGTTCCTTCTGGTAATTATCATTAATCATTAAACAAAAACAGTTTTAATAGAAAATGAAGAGTTTAACCATGGTGTCATCAGTAATTGTAATTAGTTAGTTTTGTGTTTCATCTGAGTAGAATCCATTGATTATTGTAGGCCTGAAGAAACTGAACGAGGGGTTTCACTTCGATAACAATTCAGAGCTCTGTGGAGCTCACTTTGATTCTCTGAAACCATGCGCAAACGGCGATGAAGACGATAATGAAGAAGGCAGTAAAATGGCTCGTAAACCTGAATCAACCAATGTCAAGCCACTGCAAGCTCCACAGACTATGAATGTGAACAGAGACTGCGACAATGGCGGCTGCTCAAGGTCATCGTCGTCGTCGACGACGCTCTCTTCAGGGGCTATTCTTGCTGGAACAATCATCATCATCGGCGGAGCGGCGGCGTGCGGGATATCGGTGATCTCGTGGCGGCGCCGGCAGAAGCAGAAGGTCGGCGGCGGCGGCACGGTGGAGAGCTTGGAAGGACGAGCTAGTAGTAGCAATGCGTCGTCGTCGTTGATCAACGTGGAGTACTCGAGCGGCTGGGACACCTCGTCGGAGGGGTCGCAGCAGGGGCTCCGGCTATCGCCGGAGTGGTCGCCGAGCGTGAGGTACAACATGGAGGAGGTGGAGTGCGCGACGCAGTACTTCGCCGGCGCGAACCTGCTCGGGAGGAGCGGCTTCGCGGCGACGTACAGGGGGGCCATGCGCGACGGCGCGGCGGTCGCCGTGAAGAGCATCGGCAAGAGCAGCTGCAAGGCGGAGGAGGCCGACTTCCTCCGGGGGCTCCGGGCGATCACGTCGCTCCGCCATGACAACCTCGTCGCGCTCCGCGGGTTCTGCCGCTCCCGCGCCCGAGGCGAGTGCTTCCTCGTCTACGAGTTCATGGCCAATGGCTCCCTCTCCCGCTACCTCGACGTCAAGGACGGCGACGTCGTGCTCGACTGGGCCACGCGTGTCTCCATCATCAAAGGCATCGCCAAAGGTACACTGTACTTCACCGTGCTCCGTTTGGTCTGAAATATTTAACGTTTAGGAAAAAATTTGGTTAAATTGTTGAGATTTAATCATGAATTTTATATTTTTAGAATTTGTAGACAAGATTCGATTGAAATGTTAAAATTTGGTCATCATTCTCATATTAAAAAAATTATAACTAAGATCCGGTTAAACCGTTAAAATTTGGTATGAATTTATTTTAATATGAAATTGATGACCAAATTTTAACGGTTTAACGGATCTTATTTATATTTTTTGCTTTTGAACTAAGAAAATAAGATGTTATTTTTGTTTTTAATCTAAGCAATTGAGAATTTAGTTATAGTCAGAATTTTAAATGTTTGACGGAATGTACATTGTTCTGAACGCTAGTAAGAGTTTCTCTTTTCTGTTTGAACTACAAATTTGAAGTTTTTGTTTCGTTTGTTCGGCGTTGAGATTGACTGATTTAAATTTGAAATGGCGAATTTGTTCAGGAATCGAGTATCTGCACAGCAGCAAGGCGAACAAGGCGGCGCTGGTGCACCAGAACATCTGCGCGGACAAGATCCTGATGGACCACCTCTTCGTCCCCCACCTCTCCGGCGCCGGCGAGCACAAGCTGCTCGCCGACGACGTGGTGTTCTCGACGCTCAAGGACAGCGCCGCCATGGGCTACCTGGCGCCGGAGTACACGACGACGGGGCGGTTCACCGACCGGAGCGACGTCTACGCCTTCGGGGTGGTGGTGTTCCAGGTGCTGACGGGGAGGAAGGCGGTGTCGTCGGAGCTCCGCCTCCTCGGCGGCGGTGGCGGCGCGGAGTACTCCGGCAAGCTGGACGACCTCGTCGACCCGCGCCTCGGCGGCCGGTTCTCCAGGCCCGAGGCCGCCAAGCTCGCCGGCATCGCGCTGCTCTGCACCAGCGAGTCGCCGGCGCAGCGCCCCGCCATGGCCGCCGTTCTGCAGCAGCTTGGCGCCACCCAGTAGTGACAGCGTCAAGCTGCCATTGTCACTGTAGGTTCACCTTGTATTATTAGCTAGGTGCCTAGGTGTTGTAGGAGCTAGCTAGCTGCCATTGTCGTTCTTCCAAGCTCCACCTTCGGTTCCTTTCTCAGGAACTCGATCGTTTGCAAGTTAGCCATTGTTACATTTGCCAGAATTGAAGAGGTTACTGCATGATTAACACTACAATAAAATTTTCCATATATGTTTTCTTTTTCCAAACACAAACATACAAGTTCAAATTCAAACTATACAATTAATACTATTGACTCATAATTTTATTTTCGGAATTGCTAGAAATATGGCGCCATATGCTACAATCGATTTTTTTTTCAGCCACTTAGTTACACCTCATTTACACCCCACTTACATATGTAATTAGTATGTAATTTTCGAATTTACATATGTAATTTTAGTACTTACATATGTAATTCTGAGACTTACATTGTAAATACACTAAAATTACATATGTAATTTAGGGACTTACAATGTAAATACATGCCGACTATTTTTTGATAAAAAATATGACGCCATAAATATAGCTACACCCTTTATTTTTTTAACTTATATATTTGTGAAATGATATACTCCCTCCGTCCCAAAATAAGTGCATTTTTGTACTATATTCATGTCCAACGTTTGACCGTTCGTCTTATTTGAAATATTTTTATGATTACCATTTTTACTGTTATTAGATGATAAAACATGAATAGTACTTTATATGTGACTATTTTTTTTAGTTTTTTCATAAAATTTTCAAATAAGACGGACGGTCAAACGTCGGATACGGATTTTCATGACTGCACTTATTTTGGGACGGATGTAGTATTACATATTGATCTATCTTGTTGAAGATTTTTTTAGTGATACTCAAAAACGAATGGACGTACTTTCCCAAATAATAAAGCTACAAGTAATGTACTCATTTTGATGGAGTAACTTTGAATCTGGCGGTTAGTTCGATCTTCGTTTGATGAAACTTGAGAGCCAATTGTGCGTGCTGACGAGGGCGACGAGAGGAAGCCGAGATCTTTGTTTTTTTTTCTTTTTTGCAGTGTGCCGGTAAATCAGGGCAATGTGCTTGGTTTGAATTGGTTTTGAATGCGCTCATGCGGCGTGCATGTAGGATGTTGATTTCGGCCATGATTTGAATGCCACCGTGACGAGGCATTGAAGCCAGTGGCCCAGGGATTTGATTACTCTTCTTGCAGGTTGACGATCTACTGTGCCACACTGCCGCTGCAGGGGTAGAGGGTAGTGTGTTTGATGATGAGAGAATTGAGAGGTCAGAGGAGGCGCTTCAGCTCTGGCATTAAACTCTGACGAACATGCATGTTCAGATTCAGAGTGCAGAGTCCACTAGTATTTCGGAATGTAAAAAACATTAAGCCCAGTTTAGTTTCAAACTTTTTCTTCAAACTTTCAACTTTTTCATCACATCAAAACTTTCCTACACATACAAACTTTTAACTTTTCCGTCACATCGTTCCAATTTTAACCAAACTTTTAATTTTAGCGTGAACTAAACACACCCTAAATCCCCTCGAAATTTTGGTGAAAACTTTTGGATTTTGAACACATTATTGACAAATTCAGGGGAAGAAAAGTAGGAACTTATCTAGCTGGAAACACATTGTTAGCAACTTTTTGTGACAAGTCAACGAGCACGATTGTAGCACCTAACGCTTTGCGGTGATCTTAAAGTCGCCAAACACCTCAATCTAGCAAAAGCTAAATCAAGATGGGTTTTGATAAACTAAACTGGCTAGCAAAGCCGATTTAGATGAAACTATGGATAACTACCTGTCTCGTGAGCAAAATGGAAGGTTTTTAGGACAAATCTACAAAGAGGTGTCGCACTCTCGCAGCGACAGCGGATGATTTACAGCGCAAATCGACAAAGATGGATAGACTAAACTATAACTAGAAGTAAAAGAACGATTCGATTGATTGATAGTTGATTGTGTGTTTACAATTGAACCGGCCTTTTCCCTTACATAGGGGGTGGTCTTGTCCTCTACAGGCTCTCCTCCAATCCAACTCAGGATAGAATCCAAAGGAAACCCGAAACATGCCTTCTCGAGTAAAGAAACCTCGAGACCCGACGAAACGGATTCGGACTTGGACTCTGCCGATCAGACCGGCCACCAGTCTGACCGGCCTACTGGTGGCGGTCAGACCGGCCTACCCAAAGGAAAACCGGCAGAACTCCAAACTTTGGCAATTTTCCCTATTCTATTCCTAGGTGTCAAATTTAGGTGTAAACACACATCCTACCCAAACCCACGTATATATAAACCCAAAATTTTGGGAATTTCGATTGGACGGAGAGCGTTCAGTAGTTGATGAACTGGGAATTTCCACATGTTCTGAATTGAACCCATGACGCCACATCAAATTTTGATTTAAATTTCAATGGCAAATTGTTAGCCCTTGATTGAGTGGCTGGTGCTCCACGTTTCCCGCCAAAACGTGCAACGCGGCGCGCGCCATCATGCACGGATCGCGTGGCCAATGGGAAATTTTTCCCCGTTTCCTTCGGATCGCGCGCGGCCACTCCACCGGACTCCCCGAGCTCGCTAGCTCCTCCGGCCACCCATGTCGCTGGCGCCGCCGGCCGCCAGGGTGCACCTGCAGGAGGTGGCGGTCAATGTCAACAAGAGCCTCTTCTGCTTCGACCACGACTCCGGCGCCACCTCCTCCGGCGTCTTCGCCGGCGACGACCCCCTCAAGTTCTACTTCCCCCTCTTCCTCTACCACGTCTGCACCGTCTTCGCCCTCTCCCGCGCCATCAACGCCCTCCTCCGCCGCGCCAACGTCCCCCTCGTCATCTCCCAGATCCTCGTACGTTCGCGCAGCGTCGTCTTCTTCTCCGTCTCCGGCAAAGCTCGCCGGCGTTTTTGATTGGTTGATTTCTTTTTCAATGTGTAGGCCGGCACGCTTCTTGGCCCGTCGTTCCTCGGCCACATCGCGCCGCGCGTCGGCGAGCTGTTCGCGACGCCGGAGGGGTGGGTGCTCATCAACACGATCGGCGGCTACGCCTTCACGCTCCACATCTTCGTCATCGGCGTCAAGACGGACCTGGGCATGATCCGCAAGTCCGGCAATAAGGCGATCGCCATCGCCGTGCTCGGCACCGCCTCGCCGCACCTCGCCATGTACATCACCGGCCTCGCGCTCAAGGCGCGGGTGCCGGCGGCGTGGGCGGCGTCGTTCCTCCTCACAAACCTCAACTCGTGGTGGTCGCTCTCGGCGTTCATCGTCGTGTGCTGCACGCTGCACGACCTCAACCTGCTGTCGTCCAAGCTCGGCCGCCTCGCCATGTCCGCGGCGCTCATCGGCGACTTCGCCAACACCTTCGCCATCGCCGGCGTCACCTCCTACCTCCTCGCGGCGAGCCCTTCGGAGAAGCTGCAGCGGATCGGCATCGCCTCCGTGATCGCCTTCACGACGTTCATCGCGTTCATGGCGCTCGTGGCGCGGCCGGCGATCCTGCGGCTGATCCGCGACGTGCCGGAGGGCGCCCTCCTCACCGAGGCGCGCCTCATCGCCGTGCTGCTCATCTGCCTCACCTGCAGCTTCACCGGCGAGCTCCTCGGCCTGCACGCCACGTACGGCCCGTTCATGCTCGGCCTGATGCTCCCCGGCGGCGCGCCGCTCGGGGTGACCATGGCGGAGCGGCTGGACCGGCTCGTCGCCGGCGTGCTGATGCCGCTGCTGTTCGCGCAGGGGGGGATGCGGCTGAACGTGAAAAAGATCACCGACGCCTCGACGTGCGCCCTCCTCGAGACGTTCCTCGTCGTCGGCGTCGTCTCCAAGTTCGTCGCCTCCATCATGCCGTGCCTCTACTTCCGGATGCCCGTCCGCGACGCCGTCGTCGTGGGGCTCATGATGAACTTCAAGGGCATCACGGAGGTGGTGTACGCGTCGGCGTTCGAGGACGCCCAGGTGCTCGACGAGCAGGTGTACGCGGCGTTCATGATCAACGTGCTGCTGATCGGCGCCGCGTCGGCGTCGGCGGTGAAGTACATGTACCACCCGGAGGAGAAGTACGTGGCGTACCGGCGGCGGACGGTGGAGCACAAGAAGCTCGGCGAGGAGCTGCGCGTGGTGGCGTGCATCCACTCGCAGGACGACGTCGGGCCGATGCTGGCGCTACTCGACGCGTCGTCGCCGACGCCGATGTCGCCGCTCTCCGTCTATCTCCTCCACCTCATGCCGCTCGCCGGCCTGACCAGCTCCGTGCTCCGGCACTTCAAGCACGGCAAGCGCAACTGCGTGCCGTCGGGGACCACCGACTCGGAGCGCGTCGTGAACGCGTTCCAGTTCTTCGTGCAGCAGCGGCCGCCGGGCGCGGCGTCGCTGGTCCCCTACGTGTGCATCGCGCCGTACGCCACCATGCACGACGACGTGTGCGCCGTGGCGCTCGAGAAGCGCGCCATGCTCATCGTCGTGCCCTTCCACAAGCGCCTCGCCATCGACGGGTCCGTCGAGCCGACGTCGCACAACGCCGGCGCGATCCAGGCGGCCAACACCAACATCCTCAACTACTCCCCCTGCTCCGTCGCCATCCTCGTCGACCGCGGCAGCCTCTCCACCGTCGCCGCCGCCGCCGCCGCGGCCGACGGGTTCCCGCACCGCGTCGCGCTCTACTTCCTCGGCGGCCCGGACGACCGGGAGGCGCTGGCGCTGGCGGCGACCATGGCCGAGGACGCGACGATCGGGCTCACCGTGTTCCGGTTCATGCTGCCAGCGGACAGGCAGAGCCGCGGCGGCGAGGGCGACGGCGAGGAGGACCGCCGCGACGAGGCGGAGCTGCAGGAGTTCGTCCGGCGGTGGGTCGACGACCACCGCGTCGCCTACAGCGAGAACATGGTCGGTGGCTCCGACGAGATGGTGGACGTCATCCGGAAGACGAGCCCGGCGTTCAACCTGCTGGTCGTCGGCCGGCGATCGGAGAGCCCGGAGTCGCCGCTGACGGCCGGCATATCGGACTGGAGCGAGCACCTGGAGCTCGGCGTCCTCGGCGACCTCCTGACGTCGACAGACTTCGGATGCAGGGTGTCCACGCTGGTGGTGCAGCAGCAGACCATGGCGGCGGCCGGAGAATCCTGCCGGTTGCCGGAGTTGCCTGCAAAGCACAAATCAGATGAACCTGTCTGACAAATCATGACACTCTTTATCTCTAGTTGTAAGCATATTTTACTGTGTTGTACCACTAACATCTTGGCAGCTAGAATGCAATCTGTAGCAACCATGCCTTCCTAGTCTTTTCTATGAACACGCTAATATGTTTATAATCTCATGATTGGATCAACAGACTAAACAGCTCAGATAGCAACAAAAACAGATCTACTAGTAGAGTAGTAAGTCTCCAAAGAGAGTTAAGAGCAAGTACCATTGCTTAGTCCAGCAAGTGACAGACTGACAGTTTTGGTCACAAAGAGACCAACCTGGGTAAAGTGCAGGTTTTCTTTTCTTACATTTCCCGTGTAGCTCTGCATGCAAGCTGAGCATAGAAACGACACAAAAGTACTATACTAACAGATCATTTGCCAAGGTGAGCACGAGTTACATTTGTTTTGGGTGGAAACAGTATGTTGCATATACTACTGGGGAACTAAGTGCGGCGGGAAGATGTGTTCTGGGTGGGCCTCTTCGTCCTAGAAGAACTGGCGCCACGGGATTGACCAGGGCCAGGTGCTGGAAGCGTAAGCATCTGATTCCCATCTCGGATGCCAGAACGAGCAGTTCCTGCATTGTTGTGAAAGATCAAGAATTTGTGAGAACAGAGCTATAGGAATCAAGTTCATTTGTCAAGATTTGATTAGAAATCAAGCCCGAAACAGAAGTTGCCAAGTTCCGACTCAAATCACGTACATAAAATAAAAGGCATGATTTATGGACACACACAACCAAGATCATTGAAACACGATAAAAATCACCATCATTCCTTGATTCAAAAATCTCTGGACACATCCATTCTCCTGCAATTGTGTTGCTCTGCAATTTTATATTGGTCCAACCTTTATTGGTCCTGAACCCATAATTTGACTCAGCAAATTCTATTAAAAAACTGCCCTTTCTAATGCATATTACTAGTAATACTAGGTGATTCCCGTGCTTTGCTGCGGAAATTCCTAAATAATTTTTAATTTTTTTTAATAATCAAGCTAAAAGTAGAAAATTATATTAGTTATTAGCAACACACAAAACTAATTTGTCAAACTATGTTAAGAGAGAAATACATTTAGTATACTTTATATGAGATTGTAGATGAAATATGATATCCTACACTTTAATTATATGGATGAATATATATATATTAAGGACTATAAAAATGGTGGATATATACATGTTAAAAATTTTTGTGAAAAATAATGTGAAGGAAGATGATTGGATGTTGATTTGTAGAATTCAATGAATTATAGATTAAGCTTGCATAAATTTTGCATGTAATTATTGCTAGTGGATGATGAGGTGGCATGTTTGCATGTTGAGCTTTAAAATTAGTGGGTTATAACTTTATAGTAAGATAGGATTAGGGGAAGTATCTAGACAAACCGTCCTACCATGGTACAGTGATGGACTGATAATTACAACATTCAAGAGTTTCTTTCAGACTATTGATGAGCGGATGCACCAAGGTATGACCGATATGGGTTAAGGCCTTAGGGTTTAGACATTAGTAAGTACACTTTCCCATTTTGAGAAATTTGATCGATAGTAGTAGATAAGTTAGCACAAAACAGACAGGCTGTCTGTAGTAGATAAGTTAGCACAAAACAGACAGGAACCATAACTTCTATTCAGTGTTTCCAGAAACACACATTACATATTCTACTACAGTATTACACAGTGCATATGCAGCATGTCCATGTCTGTTTGTGCATGTGAGAACAAGAGGATGTACCAGTGCCAAGCATGTTCACTCTGGGATCCCAACCAGACAGATTTTGCACTGCATTTCTCTGCCACGATTCCTCAAATCGAGCAAGCTCATCTGTAATAAAAGGAAAACAACGTCAGATCAACTCGGCTGAGGATGGTAAAGGTTCCAGGATTAGAAGGGGCTAAAACCTTCATTCAAGTTGTGCAAAGTTTGCATCGTGTCAACGTTCCCATCAGAACTCAGTTTCCTTGTCAATGAATGGCCCTGCAATGAGAGAATAATAAATTTTATTCATGGAAAAACAGCTGAATAATAACTTTAACAACACTCCCAATCTAATTGGAAGGAATAAAGCAGGTTATTTATCTGAATTACCAAGTACCTTATTGCCAATTCCACGTGAAATCCTGTGAGTGGCTTTACCAGTGGTCGTGTCTGCTTCCTTCCTTTCTTCAAATGTAACCTAGAGATATAGAAGAAACAGTAAACACTACAACTTTGGAAGTTCCAACAGAACAAATAAATAGGTGAAGGAAACAAAACTGCTAAGATTACTTACTCCATCTCCACCAGTCCTCCTAGTGGCTGAAGACGTGTAACAAGCTCCATTTGGACCGCCATACGTAACAGTTGAGCTCTGAAACATAAATGTATGAGGTTGTGGACGCGATGTGCTGGCTCTGGCATACCCCCTTTCAAACTGCTCGTGCCTAGATCTTTTATTATCTGCTAAAAGATTTTTAACAACAGTACATGGTTGGCAACAAGCCCATACTAGAAAACGACCAGCAGCATAAAATAAAGTAATAAACCAACCTTCAGTATCTTCGTCAGGATCCTCCACATATGGCATTTGGGCCATCCTTGGATGCTTCCTAGGGTTATCATTCCTCTTCTCATCTTCTTTATTCACATCTGCGCCATCCTCATCATCTGAAGATAGCTCCTGGATTATTGGCCCTCTCGGCCTGCTTGGTTCAGGAGCTTGCTGAAGGAAGCCTCCAGTATTGCTCAGTCCATTGACATTTCCATGAGGCCCAAACATGCTTGACCCAAAGCTCCCAAACATGCTTGGCTGTAACAAGCTAGGTCCCATCATAGCACCGAAAGGGTTTGTGAAGAAAGGATCATCAAAGGGATTTGCCCCACCAAAGAAACTTGACATTAGGCTCCCTGGTTGTCCAAAGCTACCCAAACCTGGAAAGGGGTCCCCAAAACCGAAGAAACCATCCCTCCTGCCTCTCCCCCCTTGCATCTTCTATTTTTGAGGTACCCTGCCCAGTTAAAAGATATTCATTATACAAACCACTATGTTATATGATATATTAGACGAAATCATTAGGTCGTCAATAAGTAGGATCTATAAGAAAACCAGACATCATACAATGTGACTTTTGGAATTAGCCTGCACATTGTAGGCATGCAGCTTTTTTTCATTGCAAGGTTATCAATAAGTAGGATATAGAAGAAAACCTGACACCAAACAATTCTGAATTTTTGGAATTTGCCTGCATGCTTGAGCACTAATCTATCTGTTCTAATACAAGGTTACACGCCCACACGACACACATGTGAACGTGATCCCTTAACACATGGCAAAGTATACAGAGGACTATTATTACTTAACATCATATAGTGAAATAAATACACTTATGAAAGATTGGTTGAACTCTAAAGTTTAAACAGAAATCAACTACAGAATCAAACATAGTGACCAGCCGAAAAAAGGCACGCTCAATGACATAAAGGGATTAAAGGAAACAAAACAGCAACTAATTTATCTCATTTATCCATTATGGTCCATTATAGCAAGTATAGCTACAAAAATTTCCCTGGCACACCATATCCATATACTCCTACCAAAAAAGCAGAGAAGTTCCCTCTTCATCAATTTTATACCAATCAAGCAACGGAAATTGCTAGTTAGCCATGCATTACTGCCATCCGACCAGCTAGTATCAACTATCAAGTAGGAGTATCAACTATCATGCGTCATTTCACCATGTAATATTCCACATGGGAAAAAAGAAGGCCCTAACAATCGCGGACACTGCTCGGGCTCGGATCGCTTCAAAATCTAGCAACCTAAACTAGCTAACACGATCGAGAGGGCTACCAGCAACGCGATCCAAAACTGCCGCGGAACACGAGTAAACCCCAACACTAACAGCAACAGGAGGGGGGGGGGGATTCGCACGTACGGACTCGTGGAGGAACGGAACCATCCATCCATACCTGGAGCAGCGGCGGCGCGGCGATCTGATCGGAGCGGGAGGCCCTAGCTTCCGACGAGCTCGCGATTTGGGAGGAGAGAGAATTGCAGAAGCAAAAAGCTGCGCGTGTGGAGAGAGAGAGAGAGAGAAGAGGTGGAAGTTGAACGGCAACTCGGGGGAGAAGAGAGAGAGAGAGAGAGAGAGAGAGAGAGAGAGAGGCCTCGAGACTTCCAGAAGCGGATTCTTCTCAGGCCTCGGCCCATTAAGAATTCTTCCGTCCTATGGGCCCATTGAAAAATTTTCTTTTTCCCAGCCCATTTGGTCTCACGTTTATTCTTTTCTTTTTGTTTTCTATCTAGCAGTGTTTTACCCTTTTTTGGTTTAGGGACGAGCGACCGCGGGATAAGTTTAGGCAAATTTTGCTAAATTTGAACTAAATTCTACTCGAATTTACTGTTTCAAATTTGAATTCTCAAAAACTGTGTTAAATATGTTTTCGTCCTACGTCGAAACCTTGAAATTTCGCGTTTTTCGAACCTGGGACACGTGGGTATACAAACTTATATTTGAGGATTTCTCCATATGAAATTCCAGATGTCCACTATGTAGCTTGAGATGCTAATAACCATTATCTACTCTATCAGAATTTTTAAAATATTCCCCCTAAAAAAGAATTTTAAAATATTTTCAATATAATAAAAACGGTTAATATTTCCCGCCTCTACGATTAGACACACAACCAATGAATTCTGTCGCGTAAACTTCTAATCAGCTGCACTACAAAGTAGCTGGAATGTTGCATCTAAAGGTCGACAATGATACGTAGGAGTATGCCAAACTCTGAACAGTAGCATCTGATGAGCTTTTAAGCTCTGAACAGTAGCATCCCTGAACTCTGAAACTGCTGGCTGCTGCCTTTGCTGGTAGGCTTTATTAAGGCTTGTTTTTGTCGGTCATCATCAATGCCCCAATCTTAGCTTAGCATCTGCCGCGCACATTCCTGCAGCCAAGAAAGCACCAAGCATGGTGGTGGCCTCCCTCGTGCAGCAATCTCCGAGGCTGCAGGAATCAGGATCCTCCTCCTCCTCATCTGCAACTCTGAATAATGCAAGATATGCTTGCGCTTTTGGCATCTCGCACCTCATGGCTGCAATCATGGCGGCAGCATACTGATCACACCATAGCTAAAGCTCTCAACGACGTACAACCAGTGGCTTGGGCTAGAGCTACGGGAGTAGCTTCTTTGTTAGGCCATCTGTCTCCATCTTCAACATCCAAGCATATATCCTACCCAGCTTTTCATGCGTACAAGATATATATGATATAATATGCTCATAGTATTTTGCTACTATAAATCATCTGGTCAGTTCAGATTAGCTGTGTACATCAGGGATTGAAATTTCGCCCCCACCAGCAAGCACATATCTCACCCGAAATTTTCGGTTTTATTATTGTATTTTTTTTAATTTGGTCAAATTTTATTTAAATTCATTCCAAATTAATCAAAATTTCAAATAATTTCGGTTAAAAAAATACCAAAATTTCAGACACCCCCAGGTAAAAAAACATATTTTGAAATTGAAAACCTGGTGTACATCTGTTTTAATGTAGAGGCCCGGGTTCTAATCTATTTTCTAAAACCAAATCTGGCCGGTTCAGACAGAAGTTCAGAATTTCAGATCAAGCATGCTGCACATGCATGAGGTAGCTAGTATGATGATATATGTGTGGATTAGTTAGTTTAACTCACCCAGTAGTAGTCTTTTATTGCTACTACTAATTAGCAGTAGTTAGCTACAAAGTGTTCATCAACTACAGGTAGGATTTGTGGAATTTTTTCTTCGGACAAGAGAACAGCTCTGAAACTGAAAGTCCTCCGACTCCGACTGACAGTACTTATCTCTCTGAATCAATCACACTGGAGCATCACTGATGAACTCTACAAGTGTCGATGGCCATATATTTATTTATTGGCCTTATTTATTTTTCCATGAGACTAAGCTTAGCTAGGTGTAAGTATAATTAAGCTAAGGTAGCTAACAAGAGGTAGTTCGTTTGTCACTAAAAAAATACTATCAGCTTCCGTTAATTAAGGAGCTAAAAGCATGAACACATGTCAGTCACTGGCAGTTCAGCAGATGCATGCGTTCTGCAACTCAATTAGTGGGCCTCTAATCTACGCTTTTTACGCCTAAACACCAGATTAATTAATCTAATTAAACTATGAGCTTTGCTAGCTAGGTCGAAAAAGATGGTGGAATATGCCCATGCGAGAAGAGCCCAATAATACAGACAGGCGCATGCACAAAGCAAGTGGACTTGGATAATGATAATAACGTATTTGGGTAAGCTTAATTAGCTTAATCACTTTGGTTATATGGTTTCTTAATTAGGGATTAGTGTTGATAATTAGGAGCCTTTGGACCACACATGTAGTAGAGCATGTGGTCACTATAGTGCGCTGGAAGCGTGCAGCAAGCTCCTACTTCGATGTGAGTGTGTTGGCGTGCACCCATTAGAGCCAAGAATTTTAAACCAGTTTTTCTCCTGTAAATTTCTCCTTGGTGATTAATTATGATTTGGATATAATTTAAACGCCCTTTTAATCTCACCATGGGCATCTGCCTTCACTTCACTAAGGCACTAACCCCTGCAAATGGAGCCTTGTTAATATATATAAGCTGTGGGAATCTTCTCCAACAAATGCAGATGGCACTACTGAACTGAACACTGTGTTTTTCTTTTGAGAGGTACTATAATGAACCAAATATATATAATTATTGTCCCAAATTAGAGCATAAATTCTGTTTGGAATGTGATTGAAACTTGGAGCATATAATTGTACTATGATCTTTTAGGATAATAATATTATTGTGCTTTTCCCCCTTGTTTTTATCCTTTCAGGAAAGCTTATATTTATCGATATTTCTTATGGAAATTAAAAATAGCAAGAATAAGAGAAGTTCCTTATCCATATCTACATGGACACTTTGAATAGATGTGCAAACCTACAAAATAGCTGATGAGCTTCTTTCTTGGGCTGTTTGTGCTTTTGCCATTTGTTTCCTCATGATGGACCCTCAGTTTGGGTTACATTTAGCTTTGCAAACAACTTGTGATTAAGTGGTGCTTAATGCTTAATTAACCATCTCTTTTGTATAGGAAAAAGTTAAGTAGGGAGACCCACTTGCCCATCACATCCTTTAAGTACAAAATGCCTTGCTTTTGGTTGCTTGCTTGTCTTCCCATGGGTTAACAGGGTGGTGGAGTACCCATGATCTAATCTCCTTTTTCTTCCCCTCTTTTATTTATTAATTTTAGATTAGTTAGATAGATAGATGGTTTAGGGGGCTAGAAGTTGGAGTAAAGCATATGTCATTGGTCTAATCTTAATCAACTAATCCAATTTCTTTGTGTGTTGCTTTGCTTTCATGGATTGTTGAATATTGACTCCACAGTGTTTATTAATTGCTACCATTATATTTATAAATGTTTCCATCCTAATCTAGCATACGAAATCTTTTTTGTTTTTTGTGGGATACTAAATCCATATCTTTTTCCATGCTTGTCTTGCAAGGAAATAAAAAGTTTAATTAATACTGGAGAATATATTTGTTATCATGAAAAAAGCAAATTATTGTTGAGTGTTGGTGAGCTGTCCACAATTGACTTTTTTGGGATGCATGCATATTAATATGCGAATGTGTCTAAGTACATATAATTTGTTCTGATTAAAAATAGCCCGTGTTTTCCTCCTTTTGTTTTACCGACTACTACCTCTCTTCGGTAATGCACTGAACAGCATGATAGTTTTTTAATAAAAAACTTTCTATATACAAATTTCCTATCACCCTGTTCTAAATTCATTTAATTTTTTTCTAACATTTAATTTATTGGTTTGTACCCTTGAAAAATTATGTATCTATTGAGCATTCTATTCCATTCAGCACAAAAGAACACCCTTTGAGTCAAGGATGAATGTAGTAGTATCCACTATCCAGAGACCAAATCCTGGAATTAATCCAATGCTTATGAGTGATGAATCATATATAGTAAATAAAAACCTAAATTGTCAGGTTCCTTTTGGACCAACCGACAACTAAAGCATATACATTGTCGATCTCGAATTGAAATGGTCGTCGATCTAGCTAACTAGGTTCGACATGCCAGATTTTTTTTTGGCACAACCTACAAAGTGTCAAAGCAGAAAAAACATTGTACTTTCATGTAATATCTAAACGGTCGATAAGATCCAAATGTAATTATGTGATGCTAAAGAAATTCAAGAAATAATTTGTAAGAAATATAGTTTGTCTCGTCTTTTCTAAACACGTAAATATAACACAACAATGGGTTGGATTTTTCAAAACTTGTCCGATGTTGGGGCGGTTTCCACTTTTTAGTTTTGAAATTTCTCAAATTTGTAAAACCATTTGGAAAGAAACTCATTTGTAAACTCTGTATGTTGTTCTTATTAGGCCCTGTTTCTGTTCCATGCATGTTTGGACACATGCATGTGATATAACTGTAAAGAAAACCAAATACACAGATTGCATGTAAATTGCGAGACAAATCTTTTAAGTTTAATTGTGCCATGATTTAACAATGTGGTGATACAATAAATATTTGTTAATGACAGATTAATTAGGCTTAATAAATTTATCTCGTGGTTTTCTGACGGAACCTATAATTTGTTTTGTTATTAGACTATGTTTAACACTTCAAATATATGTCTATATATCCAATGTAATAACCAAACCTAAAATTTTTCCGCAACTAAAGACCTTAGTCAAAGCAAGGGCTTGTTCAGGATCACTAGCTAGGTTGTTAAGTTTAATCTGTTGACCACCATACAAACAGCTTAATTAGCTTTCGGTATGGACACAAGACAAACTTACTAGCTTAATTAACTTAATTAACCTAACATTAATTTGACTCTCTCTCCTCTCTTTGACTCTCTCATGGAGGCATATTGCCTAATCATATGGCTATGGGCTGTCCATCTCAGCTTTCTTTTGCTCTTTTGACCGCCGCCCTCCTGCACTGCACAATATTCCAGTACAGTACGTACTATGTAAAAGCCACTCCTGCACTGCATGCCAATGGATTTGGATCACGCGTGTACGTACACATGCAGCCCGTGTATGCAACCATGTAGTGCCACTACCTTGCATATGCT